AGTCCAGAGAGGAAGGAGAGGAGGGAGGCCACGGTCCTCTGCCAGCTGACCTGGGAGTACCCAGGCTGCCCCCACACAGGCTCTGACCAAATCGCCTCCAGTGCAGATACTTGGGGACACCCCGTTGCCAACTCCCAGCACAGGGCCCTTCTCTCCCTTGGTGACCCTGCCCTGCTGCCTGAAATGGTGATGCAAAGAAAAGATGGCAGTGGGGCTGGGGTCGTGGCTCTTCAGTAGTCAGTAGAGTGCTCACCTACTGTGTGAGGCACTGGGTTCGATCCTTAGCACCACGTAAAAACAAAGGTATTGTGTCGGCCTTGAAAGAATAAATAAACATATATATATATATATATATATATATATATATATATATATATATATATATATATATAAAGGTGGCCGTGCCCTGCCTCTTAAAATGCTCTCAATGCTGGGCTCTTGTCTTTGTCATGGTGTGAATGCAGCCTGTGAGGGGCACATCACAGTTCACTGTCTCTTCCCAGCGGCCCTGCTTTGTTGCCTGCAGAAGATGACTGGCATGGCCGAGGAGAGGGCGGWGGGAGTATCCAGATGCCCCTGTGGTTCCTTGCTCGCCTGTATGTCTATAGAAGCTGCCTGCACCTTCCTTCTTTGCCTGCTGCTGGGCAGAGATCTGGCATGGAGGGGCTTGGGCAGGATGCACAGGGTCTCATCAGGAGTCCCTGCACCTTGCACCTCAGAACCATGTGCAGGAATAAAGGCCTCCTGGTAGCCGTTCCCCCAGCCCTCCTSTGCCTTTTCCTGGTTGGAAGATGGCAGAGTTTGAGGAGAGCATGTATCAGGAGGTGTCTTATTTAAAGATGTGTCCAAGACCATTGACCCTGACTGGTATCAGTTGCAAAGACAGCTAGGAAACAAGRGGAGCTGGTGGCTCCCCTCCGGAGTGTGGACCACAAACCCTGCAGGACCTTCAGGGCACAGGAAGAAGTGAGGGAGAAGACATGAGCACAGAGCAGAGGAGGGGGGAGTGAAGGGAAGAGAGGAAGGGGGAAGGAAAGCGGGAGGGGGAGAGGAAAGGATGTCAGGGGAGGGAGAGCAACAGGGGCAGTGGAGAAATGGCCAAGGATGTAGAGAGGCAACCAAAGGGACAGGGCAAAAGGAGAGCTGGTGAGGCTCAGAAGAGAGCGCCAAGACTGGAGGAGAAGTGGGGGGCACAGCTAGCCATCTAGTGGCTCTTTAGTGTCCGGAGACCCAGCTGGCTTCTGTTGGTACACAGACATGTGCTCCATCTGAAATTGAGCTCCTATTTTAAGGACATATTGAATTTTGCAAAAAAAAAAAAAAACAAAGGAGGTTTTCCCCTTCTTGGATAGGGATAGGAGGGCTTCCTTGATGACTGGAGCTTTATAAATTGATGGTTCTCTCATCTCAGCAGAGCCCGAGGTTACTGGAAAGGTGCAGAACGCACAGAGCTCTGCTTGGTGATTGCTGCCCCCTGCTGGCTGAAGTCTTGTTCTGTAGCTCCCTGGTACATGATTGAAATCTCTTTGGTGGTTGGTGAAGTCTGAATTATCCAAGCATCAAGTTATTAAAGCTTGGTGTTGTTGCAACTTCTGCCCTGAAATCTCCTCTGAGCTTTAGACTTAGATTTTGATCAGCCTGATGGAGACTTCCACCTGGATCTCAGACTCAGCAGGTCCACAGGTTGTTGCTTGTCTTTGCTACTGTGCTGGCCATTGCCCATCCTCTGACCTCTTTGAACAGTGGTCCTTCACACTTTCCCCAGCCCTGAGGCCTTCCTGATGGCCCCCTGTTTGGMCTTCACATCCCTTTAGTCACAAATCCCACTGAGAACATCAGGAGGCTGTTGTTATCTCTCCACCTGAGCCTTCCTCGTCTCTGGTCAGCCGGCAACAACAGCCTTGTGACCAGTCCTTCAGAGAACTTTTTGCAGATACGTGTAGATGCAGATGTGGACACACTCTAGTCTCCTGTTTTCTCTAAGTGGTACCTTAGAGATGTTCTGTGAGTGCCTGAAAGATGAATAGTACCAAATTCAATATACGCTATTTTTTTTCCCTATGCATACTCCATACCTGTGGTCAGGTTTAAGATCTAAATTAGGTACAGTAAGAGATTAAAAGCAATACTTAATAATAGAACAATTAGAATACTATATTGTGAAAAAAATTACTTAGAACTTATAAATTGCTTATTGTTGGAATTTTTCAGCGAAAAATTTTCAGACCACAGCTGACCGTGAGTAACTGAAACCACACAAAGCAAAATCTCAGATGGGGGGGACTTACTATATATAGATACTTTATCCAGAGAGGTAGCTAGATATTAAAGATGTCTTGCAGAGAAAAATGCAAACTCTTCACTTGGCCCAGAAACTCTAGTATTCCGCCTGTCTCTCCAGGCCCTCCCTATATCCTTGTCCTTAATTCCAACCAGAGGGCAGTTGCTGACCTCCKTTGCTGCTTCAGCCCTTTCCCTAAACACTTATGGGTTCTTATTAAGTGCCAGCTCTGAGCTGGTCACTGGACTAGGGAGAGGAGCCGGCAGTCTCTGCTCTCCAGACCAAGCAAGTAAATGCAGCCGTGCCATGGCATGAATCACCACGCTCTATAAACCTGGACACCCCTGGCACAGATTTCCATTCCACAGTGTGTTCATTTTCTGTCACTGCCTAACAAATTGCCACTACTTGCTGGCTGGTAACAACACACATGTCTTTATCTCAGAACTTCCAAGTGTCAGGAGTCCATTTGTGACTTAACTGCATCCTGTGCTCAGGGTCCCACAACACAGCAATCAGCATGTGGTCTGGGCTGATCCTTTCTGGACCTTGTGACCATCCTCCAGGCTCTCATGATGGCTGGCCCTTGCAGTTGCAGGACAGTCACATGTTCATGCTGCTCAGCAGCTGGGGGTGCTCTTGGGTCCCAGAAGCCCCCACAGCTCCTTTTCTCAAGGCCTCATAGGTCCTTCATGATGTAGCAGCTCATGGCCAGCAAGAGTCCCTGGCTCCTGTCTGTGAAACAGTCTTGTACCCTGTGCAACAGTCACGGGCGCAACTATCTCTACACTTTCACCATGTAACAAAACCCAAGTAGAGGAGTGACTTCCTTCGCCATTGCCATGCTGTTGTCAGGAGTGAGCCACTTGCACCAAGGGAGAGGGACGGCTATGCAAAGGCGCAAGTCCTGGCATCAGMTGAAAGTGTGCACACCACGCATGCTTCTTGTAGAATCTCCCCCATATTGACACGCACCAAGTACGTGGGGTGGCAAGAGTCTCAGAGTCTGGCTAAGGCTCCTACTTCTGCTAAACAAGATCACTTTGGGACACAATTGTCCCTTTCACCCACACACCGACTCAGCCAAGGACTCCAGCTCCATGTTCAGTGCCAACTGAGGACAAAGCCTAGTGGTTGCTGGCTTACATCACAGGACCCAGAACTTAAACTTTTAGAAAATCTTGTTCTGAAAAATCCTTCAGCATGTTAATGGTCATATCTGCCCTGGGAGGTTGTTGTAAGGATGATGAGCTGATACATGCAAAATGGCAGGTGGAAGGTGCTCACCGAAGGGCAGTAATGGGAGTTGTCCCTCATCATCACCATCATCACTATCACCACCATCACCATCATCATCACCACTATCATCATCACCATTATCATCACCATCATCACCATCATCACCACCATCACTACCATCACCTAAGAAGAAGGTTTGGGGTTCAGGATAGGCAGATTCCAAGATGGATTAGAGTCACAAATTTCAAGTAAAATGGCCAGACATAGAAGTTTGGAAATCTCAGGTTCCTAGGAAGAGCTGGAAACATAAATATTCAGGTCTGAAGATTAGCAAGTTTAATGACTGAAACATGTGACTGGGATCACCAAGGACCAGCCAGGATTTGGGTCCCAGCCAAAGCCAGGGACAGATATTTTCATGCTTCCTGATATCAAGTTTCTTGCTCTTATAGCATGAGGCAGTCTTCTGCTTATCCGGATTGTGAGCTCCTGAAAGCAGATCCAGCTCATTCATCAGCGAATTCCAGCTGTGCTCCCAATCTCTGCCATATACAGATTCAAGGAATAAATGGGCAAACCGAGAAGCATGGGTAGAACTAGCCACAGACAGGACAGAGAGCAGATCGTCTGGAGTAGGAGCACTCGGAGTRTGTGAGACGCCATCAGGCTTCATCCCAGGGTCCTAGCTTGTCCAGTCTCTGTCAGATACCCCAGGAACCAGGAACTGACTATGGAGCCAGACTAGTCCACGTCTGGAGGAGGAAAGGCCATTTTTATTTGCTGAAGCAACAAAGCATTCTCTGTCTCTGTCTCAGGGGTTTGCTGTAGTCTGAGGTGAGAGCAAGGACCAGATGACCTCTGTGTGAATTTTAAGGGACCAGCTTTGAGCAGCCCTCGGTGTGCTAATTCCTATTCTTTCCAGCATTTCAAACACAAGTCAAAAACCCCCTGCCCCTCGCCAATTGAAAGAGGTTTTCTACAGCCATTGACTGTAAAAAGGAATAGTACTCAAACATGAGGACACAGCCTTCTCTGAATTTATCCTTAAAAAGAGTGTTTTCTTCATACAAGCAAGAAATTCCATATATTTTAAGATCAGAGCCGTATATATACTGGACGTGCTAACTTATTCATGTTCTTGTTGATTTAAAAAAAAAAACAGCGATAATTTTTGGTCTTTTGGGATTCTGCAGCCCCCCACTGCTGGGAGGGCTGGTTTAACTTCTAAGTGACTGATTCTGCTAGCTAGYGGTCAAGTGAACACATGCACCTTGTTGAACCGTACTTCATCTGGCTTTCTCTAACTAGGACAGGAATTCCTATCTGTCCCGCAGATTTCTCTGGGGATTAGGTGGGATAATGGAGAGAGCACAGAACGCTGTCCAGTGGGGCTGTGCCTTCATCCTGGCTGACTTCTTTCCCCATCTCCCTGCACAGCACACCACGACTAAATGTTCTTTCCTCTCCTTCCTCCCTCTAGGTTCCTGATTGTCCTAGGGTGCTTGATTCTGGCTGTGCTGACCACCTTCAAGGAGTACGAAACTGTCTCCGGAGACTGGCTCCTGCTGCTGGTGAGATGGCCGGCACCCCCACTTTGTTCTGGGGTGGAGCCCTCTGGTTGGAATTCCACAGTGATGAGGAGGATGCTGCCCCTGGTACAGGTCTGCCTGACTGGCTGTATCTCCCAGGTCCTCAGCCATGTCCAGGCCTGAGAACAAAACCATGCTTCCCTCACTTAATGAGGCCGCCATGAGCCCACATGTGTTCCTGATAAAGATTGGCCATTCCAGATTAGAGATAAGAGCAGATGAGTCAAAGCCAAGGCCATTACATGTTCTAAGTTCTATAATACAACTTCCCGTTACTATAAAGTTAACAGAAAGGCATGCTCCACCCTACACTGGCCTCTGCTTTGGTTTCTCAAAATGTAATTTGAGAATTATATGAAATACTTGGGGGTGGTACCTGGCGTAAAATCTGGCTTAGCCACCATTGGCCACAGTTAGCAACAAGAGGGGCCAGACACTGGGCAGGATTAGTAGACTGTTTCTTTGAGATGGCTTTCTTCAACCAGCTTTACTTTTTAAAGGTTTTTAATATGTTCAAAAGGACTTTTTAAAAAAATGATTCTTTGCAAAAAGAAACATGGGGAAAAAAAAAAAAAAAACAGGGACGAGCCAGGGACAGTTAGCACATCTGAATGAAGAAGGAAACCCTCCAAAGATGATGGAGGGGACCAACCCTTGTCTCCTTCCCCACCCCCAGCCACTGCCACCACAAAGCACAGCAGGGTGGCAGAAACCCAGCTCTCCAGATCTGCAGAGCAGAACACACTGGCCCAGACAMCTGTCCCCAGCCACCCAGCCCTCTCCATATGCTCTTCCATGCAGGAAACATTCGCTATTTTCATCTTTGGAGCCGAGTTTGCTTTGAGGATCTGGGCTGCCGGATGTTGCTGTCGGTACAAAGGCTGGAGGGGACGACTGAAGTTTGCCAGGAAGCCCCTGTGCATGCTGGGTAAGCCCTGATCCCCCAGTCCAGGGGTTGCCTGGACTCAGGCCCCTTTTTCGTGCTTTACATCTCCAAGGATATTTTAAGCAACAATTCTGGGAGTGAGTGCAGCACAGTGGAGGCCAGCCCAGCCGCTGACCTGCCTCCATGCCCAGAATAGCATCAACCTGCCTGTGCTGAAGTTCCACCTTCCAGGGCTGCTCCTCCTGTCAACTGGAAAGGGCAGTGATGAGTTGGGGTGGGGGACTCCTCTTGTTGTGGAGGAGCCAGCAGGTTGACAGGTGTTGAGCATCCCTGGTCCCTAGACTGCAGGCAGCCCTCCTGCTATGACAATGAAAATTGCCTGGACCTTCCGGACTGTCTGGGTGGAATGGGGAGGGACACCATTGCTGGCTGAGAATGTGCTTCTGCAGGACCACCTTATCCCCACCTCAAGAGGGAACAGGCTCACAGATCCCAGGCATGTTCCAGTCTCACAGGTGGTAAGCATCAGATTCCATCTCAACAAGACTAGAAGACTCTAGCATCTGCTTGCCCTCCCCACCACCATGTTGCTTGTGTCTGGATCCAAATGCTGCTTCTGAGAGGCCTTGTCACTAGGATCCTTCCTACTGGGTGCACTATTTTTATATTGGAGCAGCTCAATGACCTTTGTTTTCATCTGAAAATGCTGCTAGGAGCCATGTCATGACAGGGCAAAAAACCCCTGTATAAAGCCAGGAGTGGTAGAGCTTCCTGTCCCTGGGGTAGGGTGGGGGCTAAAGAGACAGCATCATTGGGGGTTAGCAATGGAAGGGACTCCAAGGCATCCACCCAGAGGCCCTCAGGCCCCTGCAGCAGCCTTGAAGTAGTCCCCCAGACCCTGCTTGCTCATCCCAGTGACGAGGTGCTCCTCACCTATCAGAGCTTTCACCCCCTCTTAGCTCCTCTGACTCTGTCCAGTTATTTGGGTCCAGCCTCCTATGCTGCTCCTGTCCCTCAGTCTTGTCCCATCCAGGACAGGTGTGCTGAGTGACCCTGGCAGCACTGGACACTGGTGTTCTCAGTCTCATAGTCTGTGACATCTTCTGAGCATGTGGATCCTTCCCCACCTCCTCTTCGAACAGTGACTCCAGGACTGTACCCAGGCCCCCAGGCACCATGGCCGCCCAGAGAAGAGCTGGCTGTTCCTTTGCCCTAGGGGCCAGATCTCTCCTGCTGCATGCAGGGCCTTCTCAGCCACTCGCCTTATACCAACCTACTGTTGAGGAGAGTTTGGTTGTTTTTTCTTGTTTTGTTTTGCAGAATTTTGAGCATAAGTAGGTGTGTCTGTGTGTGAGCACAGTTTTGGAGGCTCTTTAGCTACTCTGCTTTCTGTATTTTTTTCTTCTCCCTCTTTGCCCTCTTTCCATATCTCCTCCCACTTGCCTTCCCTTCTTCCGTCTCTTCTTCCTTCTGCGTCTTCTGTGAGTGCAGCAGAGTTTAGCTGACTCTCCTCTGTGCAGTGATTGGCAGTGCTGGCTGGAGTCCTGCATGTTTGCATTGTGTGGTGGGGCGGCTTTGTGACCATGCTCAAATTCAAATTCCTGCCAAGTTCAAGATACCTTGGCACAGGGAACCCAGAAACTTCCAGAACAGGTGACTTCCCATGCAGCTATCTCCACTGCCTTGAGGTGGGCTGCACACACAGGGATCCAGGCCACCCTGCCCGCTCCATCTCCATGGAGACACGCGGCTGGGCCTCAGCACTATCGTCCTTGCTGGCCTCTTTTCCACCTGACTCATCTCCGCTACTTCCATGATGTGGCCCTGGTAGCAAATGTTGCTTTTCTCTGTGTGCTTGACAAGAGTGTGGTTATGTCTAGGGACATGGTGGCCTTCATAATCAAGGAAGCCTCAGAGCTGGTCACTTTGGGTGTAGATACTCCTTCTGGGTCAGATATTCCCTCCTCACCAAGCATCACAGACTGCAGCATTTACTGCAGGTGTGGGTTTTGTTTTTCTTTCTTTCTTTTTTTTAATTTGTTTTTTACTGGTGCATCATAATTGTACATAGTAGTGGGATTCTTTTTTTTTTTTACATTTCTTCTCAGACAGAGCTTTCTTTTTTTATTTGTTTTAATTAGTTACACATGACAGTACAATGATCTTAACATATCATACATTTGAATCAGATGGGATGTATTTCTCATTTTTCTGAGTATACAGGTTGCAGAATTACATTGGCCATGTAGTGGGATTCTTAATGCCATATTCGTACATGCACATAACATAACTTATTTTGTTTTTCTTTGAATATTATAAGTGGATTTTTTGTACAGGTAAACTGAGAAGCCTGACCAGTTATGCAGACATATCAGAACCCAGATGCTTGCCCTCTCAGTTTTCCCAGATGACAGGTGTGTCTAGGGGTTCCCTGGATACAGTAAAAAAGTGCATCAGATTTGAATTGAGAATTGATCACGTCACAAACTGAGACCAGAACATATAAACTTGTAGAGGTATGAAAGAGTGCAGTGTACTCAGCAAACCATGCATGCTTCCAGAAGATTCTCAGGAGCCAGCAGCTTAAGGAGCTCAGACTTCAGTGGACAAGCATTTCTTTGAGTGTGTTCCTTGAAATCCTGTGTGTTCCTTGAATGTTCTTGTGAAAAATAGCTCTGTAGTCAAAATCTTTTGGGAGTTTTTCTTCCTGCAATAAGTTTTCTGCCAGATCATGTTTCATGAAAACCATTCTTAAATCAAAGTTAAAAAGAGAAAGGAAATGACTCCTCTCAACACCGTCACTATTGGATTCATGCATGGAGTATGGCAAGACCACTGCTACTGGCCATTTCATCTATAAATACGGTGGGATCCTCAGTAGAACCATTGAAAAGTCTGGGAAGGAGGCTGTGAATGGGAAAAAGCGCCTGCAAGTGTGCCTGGGTTGTAGAGAAGCTGAAAGCTGAGCGTGAGTGTAGTACCACCATTGGCATCTCCCTGTGGAAACTGAAGAGCAGCTAGGTAACTGTCATTGATACCCCAGAACACGGAGCCCATCAAAGACCAGGTTGCAAGCACATCTTGGGCTGACAGTGCTGTCCAGGTTGTTGCTTACGGAGTAGGTGAATTTGAAGCTCGAATCTCCAAGAGTGAGCTGACCTGCGATCAAGCTCTTCTGGCTTRCACACCAGGTGAGAAAGAACTAACTGTTGGTGTTAACAAAATGGTTTCCAATAGCCACCTGCAGCCAGAAGAGAGATGAGGAAATTGCTAAGGAAGTCACACCTACCTTAAGAAAACTGGCTACAAGCTGACACACAGTGGCACTCATGCCCATTTCTGGTTGGAATGGTGATGTCTTCCTGGAGCACAGTGAACGGATGGAAAGTCACCCATAAAGGTGGCAATGCCAGTGAAACCCCACTGGGGGGAAGCTCTGGATTACATCCACCAGCAGCAACTCATCCAACTGAGGAGCCCTTGCCCCCACCCTCCAGAATGTCTACTAGATTGGTGGGATTAGCACTGTCCCAGGGGCCCGGGCAGAGACTGGTGTTCTCAAACCCAGCATGGTAGTCCCCTTGCTCCTATCAGTGTCACAACTGAAATAAAGTGTGTTGAATGACCATGAAGCTTTGAGGGAAGCTCCTCCTGGAGCCAGGGTGGGCTTCAGCGTCAAGTACGTGTCTGTCACACATTTGTCACRGCAATGTTGCTGGTGATAGCAAAGATGACCCACCAGTGGAAGCAGCTGTCTTCACTGCCCAGATGATTATCCCAAGCCATCCGGGACATATCAGCACTGGCTGTGTCCTGCCCTGGGCTGCCAGACAACCCACTGCTTGCAAGTTTGCTGAGCTGAAAGAGAAGGTTGGTCACTGTTCTGGAAAGAAGCTGGAAGATGGTCCTAAATTCTTAAAATCTCAGAATGACACCATCAATAAGCTCATGCATGTTGAGAGTGTCTCTGATTATCCTCTTATAAGTTATGTTTGCTGTTCTAGTCACAAGGCAGCTGTTGAAGTGGCATCAGAGAAGGCTACTGGAAGTGGCGATGTCACCAAGTCTGCCCAGAAAGCTCAGAAGTTCAAATATCTTCAGCACCTCAGGCTTGATCAGAGGTCCCAGAACTGTGTGTCTCAGTTGGTCATTTAAGCTTCATAGTAGAAGATTGGTTAAAACAACACAAAACTTTCAAAGGAAAGGAGGATATTTGCAGACTATTGGGGTTTTGTGTGTGTGTGTGGCAGTTTTAAGGTATTAGTTTTTTAAAATCAGTACTTGTAAGAGAAAACAACTTGACGAAACATCTGTCACAGAATTTTGAGACCCATTAAACTTATCACCAAGCTTACTGGGGAAAAGTACCTTTTGGAAAGGCTGAGCTTCATTTGTATAGTTAAAATCCCACAGTGCATATTAGCGTACTAAAGACCCTGAGAATCCTTCAGTAACAACTCGACTTCCAAAGAGTCTTTCCCAAATGTACTTGACCATGAGGCCCCCTTAGCTTGCCAACCCTCTGCAGCATGGTGGGGAGATCGTTGGTGGGAGTGTTGGGTGTCCCTGAAGGGAACAGAGAGGGATCAGGCCCCTGTCTTTTGTGCTGGACTGTCTGATTCCAGGAGCTAGGGGCCTATTTACAAGTKCTTCGTCCCCTTGGCCCACCTCTAATTCCGGCAAGGCCTGTGGTGGACATTTCCATGATACAAACATCTGCCCCCTGGGTGGGCCTCAATTTCCACAATATACCCTGAAACACTGGGAGATCAGTGGACTAATGCAGCTCAGAAGTGTGCAGGTGCTGACAACCCCGGGTTGACCCTCCACCAGCAGGGACAGAGTCAAAGGACTAATGTGCCAGCTTCCCACTGTCCAGATGGATGAAGTTGCAAGGTGCTCTTCCTACAGCTCCAAGGACCCAGCAGGGACCTGATAGTACCCCTCACTTGTACATTTCTCCTTCTCCCATCTCCCTCTCCTATCACTGAGGCTTCCTGGGATCATCTCCCAACAGATTACTTGCACCCAAGTTCCTGTCTCAGGGATATTTTGGGGGAGCAGTGGCTGAGCTTCAGGCTTCACCTCAGTAGCCTGAGTGTCCCTGATCCCCTCTTCTCCCCAGTTCACCTGAGAGTGAGTCTCAACTGCCACCCTGCAGGCCTTGGTAAATCACSGCTCCGGGATCTAGAACAGTGTTGCAGGCCTGTTTCCAATCCCGACTCCACTAGTCTAGCAGTGCGGCCTTGGGCTGGCTCATGCACGGGGCATCTGCTTGATCATGCATCACAGAATACTATTTTCCATGTGTGCTTGAAGGCCAGACTGAATGCAGCAGCTCTGAGCCCAGCCCTGCGGACACATGTGCATCTGCCCCAGCAGGCAGCATCAGGAGATGGCTGTGCCTTTACCCCACCTTCCTTCCCTGTTCCCTGCCACTCTCGCTGTCCTCTTCCCTAGACATCTTCGTGCTGATCGCCTCCGTGCCGGTGGTTGCGGTGGGAAACCAGGGCAATGTCCTGGCCACCTCCCTGCGAAGCCTGCGCTTCCTGCAGATCCTGCGCATGCTGCGGATGGACCGAAGGGGTGGCACCTGGAAGCTCCTGGGCTCGGCCATCTGCGCCCACAGCAAAGTAAGTGCCAGAGAGAAGCCACGGGATTCCATGGGCTTCTCAACCATCTCTGCCTTTCCATGACATCCTCTCCCTTACAGTGTTCTCAGGGTTGGGTCCTTCTGCCACCATGGATGATGATGACCCGGAGCATGAGGGATATGTGCAGATGTGGTCCAGAGAAGCAGGGAGACCTGGGCTTAGCTCTCAGCTCCTCCATTGGCTTCATGACTCACCCCCCTTTGGCCCTCAGTTTCCTTATTTCTAATGCTTGTGCTCCAGACGTTCGAGAAGGAGAGATGAACTCACACAGGGCAGATGTGGTGGGAGGGAAAGGTCGGAAGTCACACAGGCTGGTCTGGAAACCAGCTCTACCTGTGGGACTTGGGGGATGTTTTTATAACCACTTTAGGTCTTGGGTCCTGCATTTATAAAGCAGAATGATAATTCCCCATATGGTTGATGTGAGGATGACGTGAATCAACAGGAGGAGCATTTAAAACATACCCAGCCAGAGAAGTCATGCAGCTTCTCTCACTACATAAAGCCCAAAGCACAGTGCCCAGAACACAGTGTTGGACATGGTCTAGCCACCCCATGAGCCTGGCCCTCTCGTTCCCCCATTTCACCAATGAGGAAGCAGATGCAGAAAGAAGAAGCAACTTGCTCAAGATCACACAGCGGGACACAATCCCAGACAGTGCCTTTCCTGAGCCATATCCAAGAATTGACTGCTGTCTCTGGTGAGCTCACATCTCTATGAGAGGCCAGAAAATGGGAGGGGTGGACTCAGTGTGGTCTCCTTCCAGAGTGCCACGTGCCTAGGCTTCCAAGCTGCTCAGGCTTGGAAGCCAAGCAATTCTCTGGCTTCATGGCAATCCCTGGGTGTTCTTCCTATCGTTAACCCAAGCCCCAGAACCACTCTGCTTTAATCTGGCTGCTGAGCTGACCCTGGGGGAATGAGAGAAAGCCTCTGTCTCAGCTCAGTGCAGGAGAGAGCAGAGGGAGGGACCCTAGGACACRCATTCTTTAAGGACATAAATTCAAAGCCTCCTCCTTCACTGAGTCTTTTGTGCCAATCATAGTGGGCACCCCTTTCCAAGGGACCCTACAATCTCCCAGTCAGTAATCACATGCAGATAAATCACATGAACCCAAATCCCTGTCTTAGGTTGTGTTTCTGGGAAACTGGTCCTGAGGCAGTGAACCTGGGCAATTCAATACTAAAGGAACTCAGAGCTTTTATTACATCACCATGACCAAGCTGCCTCCAACTTCAAGACTCCACAACACACAGCTCCTGGGTCCTACATCTCAGATATGCACCCAGATACACTGGGGCATGGTTTCCCACAAGATGGTTTCTTATAGTAGACCAAATACAAGCTTAGAGCAAATACAACTGGGTCCCTTGTTGAATGAAGCATCATTATGCAACACACAACTGTTTGCACTGCATTAAATAAAAATGTAAAACACGGGACTCTCCACCTTAAGAACGCCATTTCTTGCCATAAGTGTTTTTTAATTCCCTTTCTGTGCCACCTCTGTCCATAAGAGTTGGTGAGGTGACAGTTTTCTTTACAGATTTTTCTGTCTTCCTCCTGACCTGTCAGTTTATCTTTCTCAGAGGACATGTTCACTCCACCCTCCTGGGCTCAGTCATAACCTAGTAGCCATGGGGCCCATTTGATTGACAGTTCTGGTGGAAATTGGTGATAAAAATTTCTGGCTTGGGGTCTTGGCCCTGCTTTCCTTAAGACTAGGATAGATGCTCAGAGTCTGCTGACTATTTACCGTGTGATTACCAGCAACCTTGGATGTTTGTGATATGATTCCTGAAGAAGGTGAGCCCACCCTGAAGCCAGACCCCTCCTCTAAAGCAGGATCTCCTTCCCGAGGTGGGCAAAGGCTCTGGCGTGGAGCTGCCTGCTCACAGACCTTGGTTTACCAAGCTTTTCCCATGCCCCAAAGTGTGTGTTGTGAGTACTGGTGAAGGCCTGGGCTGTCAGAGCAGAGAGGAAGCTCTTTCTAAGGGGAAAAGCACATGCCAATCTTGTTTCCTCATCCATCCATTAGCTCTGGGCTTGACTCCTCTGGACGCTCAGGGATGAAAGGTGGGAGGACTATGTTCCACAGGTCAAAACCTTTAAAGATGATGCTCTCACTAGTTAGGATAGGCCAGGACGTGTTCCCAGAACAAATAAGTCCTGAGGTCACTGTTGTCCAGCAAAAGACACCTACATCTTGTTTTTTCAGTGTCTGCCATACATTGGGTAGATCTGATCTATCGTGAGAATGAAGCCTTGAGAAACTGAGGCAGGGGGGAAAGGTCTGGTGCATTCTGCATAATGATTAATAATAATAAGATAATTAATAATAATAATAATAAGGGACTTGCCCCCTTCAATTCCCCACATTGGCTGGACACCAGTCCTTACTCCCAGCCTGACTGCGGGGAGCCTTGGCACGTGGAAGGAATGGTTCTGCCACAAAGCTGCTGGCAAAAATTGTGTCAAGTCGGGATTGCCTCAAATAGTGTTGTAAACGGCTGCAAAGCACAGAATGGGGACCTATTTCACTCCTCATTGGCAGCCATTGTACCATCTCTTAATAATCCTGCACCTCCAGCTTATCTGAGCCCCCGTGAACAGACAGCTGTTTCTTTAGTCAGGCGCAGATGAAACTTCTGACTTGCATTTGGGAGCCAGGGAGTAAGAAAACACATAAACACCAGAACTGCATTCTACAAGGCAAGAGGCCACGTTCAGACAGCCCCCAAGGAGGCAGCGTCCACCTAACCCTTGCCTTCTAGAACTCCCATCAGGAGTTCACTGCTGGGCTGCCCCCCATCCCCTCTTGCTCTCTGCTGAGCTCCGGGGGTGCAGTGAGCAGTGATGCTCCAGATAGCGYGCCGCGCATCAGAGATGCAGGCTGCTGAGGGCACAGTGGAGGGCGAAGGAGCTCCAGCTGGGGGAGCAAGCCTCCCAGAACATTTCATGATGGAGGTGACATGAGTTGAAGATGATGTGAGGCTTGTCATTTGGCCCCACCTCCGGGGTGGGGGTGGGGAGGTCAGGCAGCAGAAGGCAGCTGAAGTGGGAGGACATCAAGAGGGTGACTTGCCCTGACTCAGCAGAAGTAGGCTTCCCTCCAGACTGCACTTGCCAGTCACCTTGGCCTTCCTCCCATCCAGCCTCCCATGTTAAGCCTTGGCCTTGGGAGGGGAAGAGAGAAATAAAGGAGGCTGAAGCTGGAGGAGCACTCAGGACGGTCTCCAGTGCGGTGCTGGTCTCCGCCACCTCTCTGTGCTGTTTTCTCTGTCACTCAACATTTCCCTTTAAGCCAATTGACTCCTTGTCTCCTTCCCCATTTACCTGGTCTGTCATGTGACGAGAACCATGATGCCAGGCCTGGGGACCCTCGTGGGTCACGAGTTTATAYATTATTTACGCTCATTTTTCATATGTTCTAAATCAATGCAGAACCACTTCACATAAAATCCACTTGTCTGAATTGACCCGTGGTACACATGTCACTTTCAGGGTCCCTGTGGTCCAGTATCTTCAATTTAAAAGTGAGAATTCTAAAGTTAGGCAGTGGGGGACATTTGCCCAGGGTCACCTGGTAACTGGGTGGCAGGTCTGTTCAGAGGGCTGKCCACTGTGCCACACTAGCTCTTCCTGGCCACAGACTTCCTCAGTATTGAGATTTATGCTGGTTTTGTCAGTCCTGCATGGAATTCAGTCCTGAGCCTTCTCTCTGAGGGAGTGGCCAGTCCGTCCTGACCTCTCGCTGTCTCATGAGCTCTGAGATCAAGGTGACTATGAACAGAAGTCGKCCTCTCCTACTGGAACCACATACCCATTCCCTTAGTGAACGATGGGAATGATGTCCATATTCCYGATCTCCTTCTACAGTGATGGGAGGTGAAGGTCAGAGCAGGTGAATGACTGGTTTTCCCAGTCAGGGAGCTGATAAATCCAGAACTCCAGTGTGTCTGGCTCAAATGTCCATCCGAGGACTTTCTAACGGCTACTTCCCTGGTCCGTTGTGACTCTCGCAGGAACTCATCACGGCCTGGTACATCGGCTTCCTGACCCTCATCCTGTCTTCATTTCTTGTCTACCTGGTGGAGAAGGATGTGCCGGAGGTGGACGCGCAAGGAGAGGAGATGAAGGAGGAGTTTGAGACCTATGCAGATGCCCTCTGGTGGGGTCTGGTGAGTGACCTCCTTGAAGACCAGCCCTGTGGGGATTGACGGGTAGAGGCAGAGAGACCGAGGGCATGGCATGGGCACCCACAGTTAGGCAGCTGCGCGCTGTGGTGGCAGGTGAGAGCCAGGCCCCTCCACCTCTCCCGCCAGCCACACCCCTGCACGTGGAGAGGACTTCCCTGCGGTATTCATAAGAAGCCAGGGTGGTGTGGAGACCCTGGAGGGTCACACTCTAGGGACTCTGGGGGGCTCCCTCCTCCTTACAGCAGCCTGAAGGAGATGCCAGGCCTGGGTACCCTCGTGGGTCACATCTCTAAGTAGGCCCGGAGTTCCCTTCTCCTCAGAGCAGCCTGGGGGAGACGCCATTGTCTGGACCCTCCTGGTTCACGTCTCTAGGGACGCCCGGGGCTCCCTTCTCCTCAGAGCAGCCTGGGGAGACGCCATTGTCTGGACCCTCCTGGTTCACGTCTCTAGGGACACCAGGGGGCTCCCTTCTCCTCAGAGCGGCCTGAGGGAGACGCCTGGTGTGGGGACCCTCGTGGGTCACATCTCTAAGAAGGCCCGGGGCTCCCTTCTCCTCAGAGCGGCCTGGGGCAGACACCAGCGTGGAGACCCTTCTGGGTCCTGGGAGCCTGGAGCAGCTCCCGCGCTGGGCTGGCCAGAGGGGGCGTGGTCAGCAAGGGGCGGGGCCTCCTGGAGCGTGAGGAGCCTCCCCCTCAGGACCAACCCGGGAGAGGCCCAGTCCTGGGAGTGTTGGGTCACTCCACAGGGAGGGGCAGAGCTCCCTTCTCAGAGCAGATTGAGAGAGACACCCAGGTTGGGGACCCTCGTGGGTCGTGCCTCCAGGGACTCCCGGGTTCCCTTCTCCTCAGAGCAGCCTCAGCGGACTCTTGGCTTAGGGCCTTTCGTGAGCCACGTCTCTAGGGACGCCAGGGGGCTCCTCCTTAGAGCAGCCTGAGGGAGACGCCTGGTGTGGGGACCCTCTGAGCCACGTCTCTAGGGACGCCAGGGGGCTCCCTTCTCTTCAGAGTGGCCTGGGGGAGACGCCTGGTGTGGGGACCCTCTGAGCCACGTCTCTAGGGACACCAGGGGGCTCCCTTCTCTTCAGAGTGGCCCGGGGGAGATGCCAGTGTGGGGACCCTCTGAGCCACRTCTCYAGGGACGCCAGGGGGCTCCCTTCTCTTCAGAGTGGCCCGGGGGAGATGCCAGTGTGGGGACCCTCCTGGGTCCCATCTCTAGGGACACTTGGGGTTCCCTTCTCAGGGCAGCCCGAGGGAGATGCCCGCATAGGGACCCTTGTGGGTCAAGTCTCTAGGGAGGCCTGTGGCTGCCTTCTCAGGGCAGCCCGAGGGAGAAGATGCCCTGGCGTGAGGGTCTCCTGAGCCATGTCTCTAGGGAGGCTGGGGTTTCCCTTTGCAGAGCAGCCTGAGGGAGATGCCATGCTTGGGGACCCTGTGGGTCATGTCTCCAGTGAAGGGTTCCCTTCTCCTCAGCAACCTGAGGGAGGTGTCTCACTTAGGGACCCTCCTCGGTTGTTTCTCTAATGAAGCCTGGAGCTCCCTTCTCAGAGCAGCCTGGGGGAGATGCCTAGCTTGAGGAYCCACCTGGGTCGCATCTCTGGGGACACTCAGAGCTCCCTTCTCCTCAAAGCAACCTGAGGGAGAAGCCCAGCTTGGGAACCCTCCTGGCTCACCTCTCTAGGGACACCTGGAGTTCCTTTCTCAGAGGAGCCTCAGGCAGATGCCTTTCTTAGGGACCCTTGTGGGTCACGTCTCTAGGGATGCCTGGAGTTCCCTTCTCCTCAGAGTAGCCTGGGGAGATGCCTGGCTTGGGGACCTTCATGGGTCATGTTTCTATAAGAAGCCAGGGTGCATGACAGTCTGATCACACGGCCACCTGGGACCTCACCTTATGAGTCTCAGGTCGGTGGTTTTAGCCAGGCCAGGCATGTGCAAACAGACACATTGCAGATACACACAAGAGCACCCAGACCTGAAGACATGCCTGGAGATGCACAGCCCCATGCCACCAAGATATTAGAGCTGGCATTTATCGAAGTCCTGTTTCAGATTTTCACTCCAGGTAGATTGCATTTACTAATGAACTTTAAGCTTAAACTCCTATTATTAACTCCTTCTGAAAAAATGGGGAGATTGAGGCATAAAAAGATTAAGTGACAAATTTAAGGTCCCTCAGCCACTAGAGAGTTGAACTTGAAATCATATGAGGCATTGGACTCCAGCAGCCATGTGTTGCCTGCTCTGCATCCTTCTCCACCTGCAGATACATGTACATGCATTCATATAAACACACCTGGAATCTACCACACACGAAGAACAGACACATGCACACATATACACACTGAGTGCAAATATACTCTCAAATACAGATCACTTACCTGGCTTTGTATAAACTCACACATTCACAGATCCGTAGGCCCCTCAGTATCCACAGGGAACCGGTTCCACCCGACCTCCTTGAGCATATCAAAATCTACAGAGGCTTAATACTGTGATATAAAATGGTATAGGATATACATACAACCTTTACACATTTTCCTGTGTATTTAAATCACATCTAGATGACTTACAACATCTCATACAATGTCAAAATTGAGTAAATAGCTATTAGTATTTCTTATTTGTCTTATTTTATGCTGTATTGTTATTTTTATTGTTTTATTTTCCAAACATTATTGATCTACAGTTGTTGAATCCAAGGATGTGGAATTGTGGATACAGAGGGCCACCTGTATATGTAGAATACACACACACACACACACACACATTTGTTTGAAATTATTGAAATATCTGCTGACTGCTTGATAGGAAAGCCCTACCTTCAAAACAGGGGGTGGTCTCAAGACTTTCATATAAGTTACTCAGTACTGGTGCCTTTTCTTGCATGGGAACCTTGTTATAAATGGGAGTGGGCAGAGCTGGGACTTGGGCAGAGCTCAGCTCGCATGTCACTGAGTTCCCCTTCCCAGGGAGCCCATGTCTGAACTCCTCTCTCTTCAGATCACACTGGCCACTATTGGCTATGGAGACAAAACTCCCAAGACGTGGGAAGGCCGTCTGATTGCTGCCACCTTTTCCTTAATTGGTGTCTCCTTCTTTGCCCTTCCAGCGGTAAGTACCTTGGACTTGGGATAGGCAGGACCACTCACTGTCTGGTCCCAGCTCAAATCCCAGCCCAGTTCTCAACCTTTTGCATCCGAAATTCCAAGCCCTGTTGGTTCACTGGCTACTCCTGTAAGCATGGTTGTCCACTCCCCTTCCATAGCCCGTGCCACTTCCCTTTGCCAGGAGTGAGTGATCCCTCCAAACATCCACTCCTCTTCCAAGACCCAGTTTCAATGCTGCCTTCTTGGCTGGGCTAGCTGGTTCCTCTTAGGGCATACCTCCATGCTGGGCTTGCACATTTCCACACCTGTCTCTCTAGAGGATGGTGATGCCTGGGGGCTGACATTCTGTCTTTCAAACCTGTATCCCAGAGCCTCGCACTGGGGAGGTTTTTCATGCGTGTGAACTCCCTTCCTATGCTAGACAGCTTTTCATTGCTGTAGTCAAAATACCGGACAAGGACACTTTCAATGGGGACAGGTTATTTTGGTTCATGGTTTCAGAGGTTTAGTCCATAGTGGACCAACTTCATTCCTCTGGGCCCAAGATGGGGCAGAACATCATAGTGGAAGGGTGTGTGTTGGGGAGTGGGGACATTGCTCTCTCAAGAAGCAGAGAGAGAGAGAGCAATGGAGAAGGAACCACAGGGAAGATGCACCCTTCCAGGGCACACCCCACTGACCCACCTCCTTCAGCCACACCCCACCTGCYTTTAGTTACCACCCAGGCAGTCTGTCCAAACTAGGACGAACTGAGTACATCACAGCTTTCATAATCTGATCATTTCACATCTGATATTCCTGCATTAACACAGGAGCTTTGGGGGTTACCTCATATCCAAGCCATAACACTTCCTTATATAAAAATCCATTCCCCTCAAGAGGAAGTCTTGGTAGGTRATAGAATAACATCTCCAATCCCACATCCAGTGTGTCCTAAATCATGCCAAATGCTTTACCTGTATCAACTCACTTGATCTTCATGACAACACTAGGAGTTTGATACTGTATTCATCTCCAATTTCCAGATGACAAAAGTAAGGCTTAATTAGGATACTAATATTCCTGGGTTGTGGAGACAAGAATCCCAAACCTGGCCAGTCCTGAAGCCCAGCTCTTAATCATGAAGCTTGGAAAGATCTTTCTCAGATCTTTCGGTGGCCCCCTTCACCCTCCATTCTTTTGGTGGTGAAGTTCTTCTCCATCACCTGGTTCTTTCTCCCACTTTGCCTATTTTTTCCTAGGCTGTTTGACCTTGAGTATCTGACCTTCCTGCATCTTAGTCTTCTTCTGGGTGAATCAGGCAAAGCAGAGCAGGGAACTTAGGTGCATGRCACCTAAGTTCTCTTTTATTTTGAAATGTATATGATTCTATCCACTAAATCCACATGCACATCTGACCTGGAAGTCAAAACAGATCACAGTTCTGAGAAATTGAGGCTACAGTACATGTCTCTAGGGACAATTGAAGCAGCTAGAATATTTTAAAAATTCCACTAACATTTCCTGGGTCTCCAATCTGTGCCAGACCCTTTTCTAGACAGTTCCTATATGTCATCTCACTTTTGTCTTAACACAATCATCAGGTGGGTACTGTGACCCAAATACCCTGTGGAAGAAACTGAGATGCAGGACGGATAAGAGGCTTGACCAGGTCTCATAGCTGGACAGCGGCAGTGAGTATAGAAGCCAGGCCCTCCTAACCTCTGACCTTAATCAAGCTCCCAGCTCTCTCAAGGGGAAGAATGGTGTCTTTCCCCCTTCTCTGCTTCATGCAATGATGTCATTGTGGAGTCATTAAGCCCTACAATACCTGCTACCCTGGCAGTAGACCTGGGATACCAGGAGAGTCTTGGGGCCTGAYTATGGGCCCTACTCTTTCTGCAGGGCATCCTGGGGTCAGGGTTGGCCCTCAAGGTACAGGAGCAGCACCGTCAGAAGCACTTTGAGAAAAGGAGGAAGCCAGCTGCTGAGCTCATCCAGGTCTGTCTACCTGACAATGAACTGGAATGGTGACCCGGAACATACACTGTGTGTGTGTGTGTGTGTGTGTGTGTGAGAGAGAGAGAGAGAGAGAGAGAGAGAGAGAGAGAGAGAGAGAGAGAGAGAGAGCACAGACATGCAGCCACACATACACACAGGAGTGGGCCTGCTTGCATATGCTCTCTGTGGGTGGCTATGGGCATTGCCATGGTTATCCATTTGACCTGTCTCTACCTGTTCTGAAGGTGACAGTCTAGTACCTCCTATACAAATTCTAAACCAACCATGAAATAGATGCGGGACTCTTTTGAAACCATCAGCCATTTTACTGATAATGTTGGAGTAGAAAATTTGGCTTAGACCTCTGAGCCCACTAGGCCTGCTTCTCATTCCAGGTTTCACCTTGGGACCCAAAAGGAAGAGTCAGTAGCCTATAGTCAAGTACTTAGCCAGTGAACCACAAGGACTGTGGGCCCTCACATCTGCCAAAGAGAGAGAGGGCCCATAAGCCAAGAGAGAGAGTGATTCCTTACATGTGCAAACTATTGAGCCACTGCACCTGTGTATCCCAGCCAGGGCATTCATGGAGCAGTGGATGCTGGACCCCTGCCCGCTTGTCACCAGMAAACCCCTCACCAGAGGCTGGGCTTGGGAGAGACGTTAGCAGTAGTTAGAAAGACAGAAGCCCTCCTCTTAGACTTCAGGAGGAGTCCTGCTTCATGCTGATGTGGGCTGTGGGGAGCGTGGCAGTGCAGTGAGAAGGAMAAAGGGGTGTCCCAGCTGTGGCCATCTAAGTGCTCAGGACCTGGCTGCCCACTTTGAATTTGTGCCCGGTTGTAGTGGTTGTCTCTGTGGGTCTCTGGGGCTGACCCAGCATGGTACATGATGGCATCCTACAGACTGTWGTTCTGAGGTGGGTCCCAACCTCCAAGTCTGGTGCATTATCCCTGAAACCCCAAGCCATCAGAGCATCCCAGGGGCAAACCTCATGTCCCAGGCTCTCTGCCTTACACCCTGAAGTGACCACCAAAGACAGTTTGTTTTCCTATCTATTTGACTGAGAAGATTCCTGGAACCTTCTGGAAAGAGTAGTTCCTCTTTATTCCCATTCATCTCTCTCCATACCCCTACCCACCAAGACACCAGTTACAACTCTGAGAAAGTCAAGGAAGTTTTTTTCCCGGAGGGGTTATAGAAAGCTGAGAACCTCAGTTTCTCTGAAGGTCAGTTCTATGCAAATTCAAACCTAAGGGCTTTGTAGTGTCATAATGTAGTGGGACTGTGTGTGACGGTTTCAGAGATACTTTCATTCCTGCCCCTCTGTTCTCCTCCCCAGGCTGCCTGGAGGTATTATGCTACCAACCCAAACAGGATCGACCTTGTGGCAACGTGGAGATTTTATGAATCAGTCGTCTCTTTTCCATTCTTCAGGCAAGTGACCATTTATCTGAGTGCTTAGGCCATGGTTGACTATCCCTCCAGTGGTMTATTTGTGTTATGGCCCCTACAGTTTCCTGGAGGACATATGCTAGGGCAAGGGGGCTTCCCATCATGGGCTGCACATTAGCATCAACTGGGAGCAGGACACACTCAGGGTATTAAAATCAGAATCTTCAGGACTAGGCTTGGGCATCCATGTTTCCAAAAGCTCCCCAGGTGACTCCAGTGTGCCACCAGAGGTTAGCAGCTGGACAGTGTGAAGTGGCTGATAGGGAAAGTTCCTATCTATGTATGAGCAGAGGACAGGATTGAGAAAGTGGAAGCCTGCACCCACARCTGCCTTAGCAATGCTGGGTGTCCTCTCTAGAATGCACACCACCCTGGACTGTGGAAAAGGGAAGGTGAAAGAGGACAAAAGAGTCCTCTGGAAACTCAATGATGCTGTTTTGAGTTCTCAAGGTTGAAAGGAAGAAAAAATAGATTTTTTCCATGGCCAGTATGTAGGAAGAGGGAAATTACTGTGCATTGATGTCCACTGTGTTCCAGGTTTCCAAGTGCTTATTTGACTTAATCCTCATGGGTACCCTAGGAGAYAAGTCGGGGGTTCTCAAACGTCAAGGTGTATTAGAGTGGAGGAGCATTTTGGAAATGCAGACCCAGCTTCAGTGATACTGATGGAGGACTGGGGGAAAACCACATGGAAGAGGAGCCTAGGAGATCCACACATGGCCACATGCATACGCACATAGTGCACACCTGGAGACGGGCTGAGTGTCAGCAAGATCTACTTGCAGATAAGCCAGCTGAGGCTCTGAACTTCAGACACTGACTAATGTTAAAACCTAGAGGTTTCCAAAGCCCATGGCCTTTTATCTCCCTGGGCTTCTGAAGGAGACTGCTCCTTCCCATGTTTCAGGTACTGGAGTTCTGAGCTCATGCCTTGAAGTCTGTGGGTAGAAAGTTGACTCCTAGAACCCTTGACTTGGAAGGAAACCCAGATGGATAGTGAGCTTGTTCCTGGGGTTTATTGTYATAGAAAATACAGAAAATTATGGCACTGGAAAGAGACACATGGCACTTGGAGATGCAGGGGAGTAGGTTCAGCAAAATCTTTCCCAAAGGCTGAGCACAGCCCTTTGTTTTTGGTATCTTTTATACAGTACAATCTTCTGGATTTCAAGAGTTTCTCATGCAAGTAGCTTTGATTTCCTTTCCCTCTTTCCAGGCAGCTCTGGTTCTGGCCACAGCTGCTGAGCAAGCATGATTACAGAAGCAGAAACAAGCGCGTTGCAGTTATTAACAGAGATAAAAAGAAAAATCTTAGGAAGGATTTGCCACTTCATTAAGACACCCTCAAACATGTTTTCCCCACGGGTCTGACATTTTAGGGCCATAGTATAAGCCAGTAGTGGACGAGTGACTTGCTCAGCRGCCAGTCTCTGAAGGCTGCTTCAGTTTATCTTTCTACTCTCAACACCAGACTGTGGTCAAGATTTAAGAAAAGACAAGGAATTTGGGTTCTATTGACTCATTTCCCTGCATAGAACCTTTCAGTGAGTAAACATGACAAAAARATGAWAATGAAAATCGAAAACTCTACATGAACTTCAGATCCTGCAAGACCAGACCCTGCTAACTTCTCCCCTGCAATCCTGTCATGTCTCTCTTCCTCAAGAGATTCTGGGGACATGAGCACCTTTCCACTCAGGGCATCCAATCCACCAATATATTTGAGTGCTATGTGCTAAGCACTGGGCCAGACCAGGGAGGGTCCTCAATGACTTGCGAGTGAATCTAATTTTAATACTGAAGGCAACAAGAAGCCCTAGGAGCCAGAGAATGACACCATCTGATCTGTTTCAGAAAGAAGACAGAGGGTGATTCCACAGGCTCAAGATCGAAGGAGATCAGCTAGCAAATGACTGTGGGGCTCAGGGTCAGGGCAATGAGGGCCCAAGGTAAAAGCAGTAAGAAGGGAGAGGAGAGGAAGGATCTGAAAAAGAATAAGCAAGAGGGACCAGTGCCTGCGGAAGGGTTGGGGAGGTGAGAGGTACCTTCCGTACAAGTCTTCAGGGAATARTGATGTGCCTGGGCTTACTCACTGGGTTCCCTGACTTGTTCTTAGACTTAGTCACTCAGAATATAACCTATACAGTTCCTTTTGTTTCTGAAATTCTATTATTCCTGTAATCTTAATTTAGAGCTTAGGTAGCATAAAGCAGGCTCCCTAGAACAGCAGGTGGCTGACTTCCCCCTAAGTGTGACCTTGAACTCWAAAACAAGAACCTGTGCAACCACATTGGGTGCAGTACCAAGAGGATTTTTATTTTCCTATGCATCCCAAGGCCTTGGCAATGGTCTTTTTCTTTGGGGTTAATTTATTATAAATAAGGCTTTGTCCTAGCTGTCAGAGACTTGGAGGACTACATTGTGCTGCAGACAGCTGCTGTGATATGGGAATGGCTTTTAAACTAAGAGAGAACATTTCTTTTTTCTCTCAAGGACGAAAGTATAGAGTCACTAGAGAAATTCACTAACAAGGCAGTCCCTTGGGGAAACAATGTCCCTGAGTTTCAGCCTACTTCATGTTAATGGCAAGAAGTAGCTGACAATACACTGACATGTCCTCACCTACCTCCTGGAGGATTCTTTTGCCATATGCTTAATTTTTTAAATAACAATTTTATTGAGATATATTTCACAGTCCATAAGAGGATTTCACCTACCACAAAAGGTATCCTGTTAAAGTAGACAATGTGGTAGCTTTCAGCATATTTGTGATGTTAAGCAYTGACCACCACTATATAACTCCAGAAAATTTTCCTTACCCCAGAAAGAAACTCTATATCCATTATCAGTTATTCCTTGTTCCTTCTTTCTTCCCAACACTGCAACCACTAATCTGCTTCTGTCTCTCTTCTGCCTATTCTGAACATTTCGTGTAGTAACAAAGTCATATTATACATTGCCTTTTGTGTATGTTTTCTTTCACTAACATGGTGGCTTCAGGTTCCATCCATGCTGCAGTGCTTATCAGAACTTTGTTCCTTACTGTGGGTTGAATAATATCCAGTGAYATACACCACATTATGCTTACCCATTCATCACTTGACAGAATCCAGTGTTGTTTTTAGATTTTAGATAATAGGAGGACCACAGCTGTGAATATTCAGATCCATGTCATTTTATGGTCACCTTTTCAATTACTTTGAGTATGTACTTGTGAGTAGAAATGGTAGCTCTATGTTTAACTTCTTATGGAACTGCCAGACTGTTTTCCACAGTGGTTAGACCATTTTACTTTCTTGACAAAGGTTTTGAAGAATGAAGTTGTGTAGCCCATCCATTTTCTGCTCAGTGTAGTCCTTTATCAATTTGCAGATATGTGTTTGGGTCTAGCCATGATGGGCAATGGAGTTCCATTTTTAGTTTTCTTTTATTCCCACCTATAATTATAAACTTGTTGTTTTTGAATTACAGAGGACATCAGATAGTTTCACATGTTCTACAGCAGTACTAACCAATATGGCAGCCATTGGCCATATGTGGCTGTTGAGCATTGGACTATTCTTAGTGCAACGAGGAATTTAATTTTTAATTTATTTAACTTTAATGTAAAAAGCCATGTGTGACCAGCATGGCCCTGAAATTGTTAGATAACAACTGAAATGGAGATGTGGAGACTCAGGCTCAGGAAGTAGAAGTTACTTGACCAAGAACAGCTAKTTTACTGTGGAAACCGGACTTGTTCCTTCTGTGACCAGTCAAGACTATCAGAGTACTTAGAAATGGAGAAGGGGAGCCATAGACAGTGTGGCCAAACATTGAACCTGACTTTATACATACTATCTTATTTTACATTTAGAATGTTCTAAAAGGTAAGTAGAAGGAGTAACTCTATTTTTATAGATAAAGGATCAGAGTGTGTTATTCAGCTTTCTGTTGTGCCAAAATAACTGAGAAAATCAACTTACAGGAGGAAAGATTGATCTTGGCTCATGGTTTCACAAGTTTCAGTCCATGGTCAGCTGATTCCATGGCTCTAGGCCTGAGGCAGAGCAGAACGTCAGAGCAGAAGGAAAAGAGCGTGATGGAGGAAAGTTGCTCAGCTCATAATGACCGTGAAACAGAGAGAGAGAACGGCAGAGAGAGGAAGGGTCTGGGGTGGTAAATGCCCTTCCAYGGCACACCAACTTCCTACAAGTAGGCCGCCTCCTACAGTTTCTACCACTTCCCAGTAATGCCATCAGCTATGACTCTGTTAATGGGTGAACCCATTGATGAGGTCAGAGCCCTCATGGTTCAGTCACTTCCTGAGAACTCACCTCTGAACATTGCTGCGTTAAGGACCAAGTCTTCCACGTGTAAGGTTGGGGGACACTCCAGACCCAAGACATAACACAGAGTGTCAGATTAATTAGCTGCCCAGTGCAACCAGCAGACATGGGGTGGAACAGAGACTGCAGCCCAGTGTTTATGCCAAAGTCCATGCTCTTTCCATTCAACTCAGTGAAGACACAGTTATTGAGGGAGGAAAACTGGGTAAACGATGAGACAGGGTTATTTGGATAATAACCATTTCTGAAGATTATTTTGGTAAGGGTCAACTGGAATAAAATGTGTGAAAGCAAACTAAGTACCTGGGCCACTGCAGGAGTTCAGTCTCTGCTGGATGAGTCTGGGCTGGGAGAAGTACTGATGCTTTGGCACAGAGGAGATGGAGGGGGATAGGAAGATGCTGGGCTCCCAAGGTATAGTCCTGGGAGCCACTGTTAGTGCCCAGGGCTGGAACACCCTGTCAGGCCTGGGTCCAGATAGGTTAGATGAATAAGATGGTTCCAGGCAGAAGAAAAAGAGGAAGGGAAATCTATGCAGAGGCTGGGCAAATGCTCAGGACCAGGACTATTTGCACAGCACCTGCAGTGCCCCTCAGGAAAGCGTGGACTCTGAAGCCAGATGGCCCAACTTGGGATCCTGACCTTGGAGCTTCCTAATTGTGACCTTGAGCAATATTTTTTTACATCTCTGCACCTCATCAGGTGCCGCAACCCGGCTGGGCACAGAATCACAAGCCACTCAAGCAGGAACAAAACTTTATTTTTAAAAAAGCCGCCAATACCCCGTGAGCACCTGGTTAACAAGCTGGTCCACACACGTGGGTCGGTCTACCGGAACCGGCCCCCGGAATTCCCACCTACTATCCTTCCCCAACCAATGGGAACTCTCCGGGAGTCCGGTAACAGGAGTCCCATAGCAGGCCCAGGTGAACAGCAGGAGTCCAATTTCCATATGAATGTAAATCTTAACATAATCATATCATCTCAATGGCTAGCTGGCAGTCACCTTAACCAAAGGTGCCATGCATCATAATACTTTGCTGTGGCTCCTAGCAATCAGGAAAATGACTGATCCTAGTACTTACCTTACAGGGTTGTAATGAGGATGAAATGAGCTGATGTATAAAAGCACCTATGGTAGTATCTGATGACCGAGCAGAGGCATGAAAGATGCCCAAGAAGGCATGAAAGATGCCAGTGTTGATTATAATGATGATGGGGGTGAAGGACAGTGGGGTGTGTGGCTGCTGCAGCCTGATCTGTCTCCTCTTAAACAAATCCTCTGAGCTCCACTACAGACAGGGCCAGAGAGGGTGTTCAGCAGTTGTTTTCTGGATGAGTAAGGGCATATAGGAGTGGCTGAGAAGAACCTAACAGCACACAGCAGCAGGAGCCTGGGTCCAGCTGGGACTTCCTCCCTCGTGGCTTCCCCTCCACATATTCYATCTTGTCCCAGAGCAACACTCTGCTCCAGCACCTTCAAAGGGAATCTGTGGAGCAAACTTTGATGGGGGGGCATGTTCCAGGTAATTCATGCTTTGTTTGTCTTTTCTCCCTCTTCTCCTTACAGGAAAGAACAGCTGGAGGCAGATGCCAGGTGAGTTTCTGATTATAAATTCCCTTCTCCCCACCACTGGGTCAAGGTAGAGGGTCTAGTTCTCCCAGTATGCTTTGGTACGGTGGGTGGCCCCCCATGTGGCCATGCTTGTCACAACATAGAGTCTCTGGGGTCACTCTTGCTGCTGATGGCATTTCTCCTCCATTTTCATGCAGACATAATCAGGGAAACTTAATGGGAATCACAGCAGCAGCCACTTACTGTCCTCTGGGCCAGGTTTTGTGCCAGGAATTCTCTCTGTGTTGCCTCCTTTGGTCCATACAACCCCAGTATAAAATAAGCTTTGATATCCTCCCTGGTGGGTGAAGGGAGCGGGGTTCACAGAGGTTGAATCATTCCCCCTGGTTTACACAGTGGATGAGTGGCAAGACTAAAAAACAAAGTCTGGAAGGTCTGAATATTAAGAAGTTATTTCTATTCCACGGAGTTTCATTTGCTTCTTGGTCTCACACATGGTACTTCAGAAAATGAATCAAGACCATAATTCATGGTCCCCACACCTGCAGATGCTTCCCAGCAAACAGTCCTCACTGCAGGCTGCTGCAGAGACTGCAGGAGCTGCTGGGTTCTAAGCATCTCTCTATCCCTCCTCCTTCTCCCTCTCAGAAGAGGCCCCAATGACAGGGAAACTGTGGACCCTGCTACAGACTGTAAAGAAAGGCCACCTTGTAAATACCACTGCAAACTGCTTATGTATTTATAAATATAAATAATTACACACACATTCTTATTTGTTGGAAAACCACTTACAAGGCCTCTTGTAGACTTTTAAAAAATTGTTATTTTACTGATCGTTTTAGCTATGTATGACAGTAGAATCCGTTTGGACATAGTTATACAAGCATGAAATATATTCTTGTATCTTAAGCCAATGCTATGCTCCTAGAGTTGACAGAATTTGGGCAGAGGAGGTGCCAGGAGCCTGGACTGCTTGCAGGGAACCATKTGAGAACACTGGCCTTTGGGAACCTGTGATTGGACAACCTTGTCCCCTTGAGTGATCTGCATGGTGCTCTCCCCATACATCATCCTGCTTGGAAGAAACCATTGCAGTCAGAACCATCAATTTCCCTGCAGAAATACATGTCAGGCTTTCCATGAATGTGTATGTATAGTGAATGGAGAGTTTTTTGCCTGCACCTAGCTTGGACTGTAGAGGCCATCAGGGGTGGACTATAGAAGAGGGCTAGATGAATTTTGATGACAAGGTCAGAGGACATTTTCTAGAGAAACTGCAGCAGCTCATGACTCACAGAGGCAGARTGGGAAGACAACCAGAGTACTCATCTAGATAGATGTATACAAACTGAGAACCCTCGAGGAGACAGGCTCACCTTATATCACACAGCCCATGAGCAGCAGAGGTTATATGATCCAGGTCTCAAGACTCTCTCCAGCGTATTCTTTATTTTCATTCCCTCCAGACCAATGAGGTCTTCAGTCATACATAAGTTCACACTGCTAGTAAATTATTTAATCTGCCTTTGGAGTCTTTTCCATATAGATATAAAGAGCACATTCCCCAAACTGATTATCCATATATAGAAGAATGAGTCCAGACCCTCATCTCTCACACTGCGCAAAATCCACTTAAAATGGATCAAGGAATTGGTCCAGAAACTATGCAACTCCTAGAAGAAAACATAGGGTCAACACTCCAGCATGTAGACGCAAGCAATGGACCCCTAAAGCTCAGGAAATAACGCTTTGAGTAATAAATGGGATAGCCTCAAATTAAAAAGCTTCTGCACAGCAAAAGAAACAATTGGGAATATGAAGAGAGAACATACAGAATGGAATAAAATCTTTGTTAGCTACTCTCCTGACAGAGGAGTAATATTCAGAATATATAAAGAACCCMAAAACTTAATGCCAAAAATCAAATAACTCAATTAATAAATAGGCAAATTAACTAAATAGATACTTCTCATAAAAAGTGGAAATGGATAAAATATTTTTAAAAATGTTCAACATCATTGGCAATCAGGGAAATGCAAATCAAAACTACTCTGAGAATTCCTCTCACTCTAGTCAGAATGGCAGCCATCAATAGTACAAAAAATAATAAAYTCTGGAGAGGATGTGAAGAAAAAGGAACACTTTTTCCACTGTTGGTGGGACTGTAAATTAGTACAACCATTATGGAAATCAGAATCCAGGATCCTCAAAAGGCTAGGCAGGGAACCACCATATGACCAGCTATGTCACTCCTCACTATTCATCTTAGAGAATTAAAGTCATCTCACCACAGTGATACATGCACGCTCATGTTTATAGCAAGACAATACACAATAGTCAAACTACGGAACTAGCCTAGGTGTTCATCAGTGATGAATAGATTAAGAAAATGTGGTGTATAAACACAATGAAATCTTATTCGGCTACAAAGAAGAATGAAATTATGACATTTATAGGAAAATGAATAGCACTGGGGAATATAAGTTAAGCAAAAGAAGCCAAACTCAGAAGGTCAAGGGCCACATGTTTTCTTTCATATATGGAAGTTCAAGAGGAAAAAGAAAATAGCAGTAGGAGGGAATCTCATCAAAATCAAAGGGAGATGAGTAGAACAGAGGAAAGTTACCAGGGGGAAGGAGGAAAGAAGGGAAGGATGAATACCGGGGAACAATATTGGCCAAATTATGTTATTATATTATGTGCATATGTATGAATGTGTAATAATAAGTCCCACCAATGTGTACAACCATAACACACCAGCAAAAAATATGGAAAAAAGAACACATTCCAAGACCCCACTAGATAATTGTAACAGCAGATAGTACCAAGCACTAGTATGATTTTTTTTTTCTTTTATTTACATACCCAGGTCAAAGTTCAATTTATGAATTAGATACAGTAAGAGGTTAGCAATGATAGCTAATAATAAAATGGACATATTATAGAATACACTATAATAAAAGTTACATGGATGTGCTGTGTGTGGGGGGGTGTGAGTGTGTAAAAATCCTACTTTGYTTTTCACCTTTTCACTTAGAGGAAGCACTTTGCAGCTTCCCATGGGCATGTCCAAATTGACAAGATCACTCCTCCTGCTATATAGAGATATTATGAAATAAAATAAGGATTTCTTGAACASAAACACTGAATACTTTACCAGTCAGTCTGATATCTGAGATGGCCACTAACAACTGGRTGAGTAGCATATGCACCATGGATATGCTAGACAGAGGGATGATCCACTTACCAGGTAGAACAGGGTAGGAGATGCAAGATTTCATCACATTATTCAGGACAGTACATGATTTAAAACCTGCAAATTGTGTATTTCTGTAATTTTCCATTCAATAATTTTAGGCCATGGTTGACTATGGGTAACAGAAATCACAGAAAATAAGCTCACAGATAAGGAGGACTATTATACATGGAAAACATCACTGTGGATTGGATTTGGCACTTCTGGTTAAGCTAAGGATCACATAGATGAATTTTGAAGCTTTCCGGGGGTTAGGGGGGCTTCTACAGTTATAGGAAAGGGTCCTCTGAAAACTGGCTGTCAATTTGCTCATGCCACCTTCAAAAGTCCTCTACTTGCCTACAGGTGCCATTCCATGATTTCTCAAGGTTAGAGTTAGGGGTTTGCTAGCTTTTCCTGTTCAGAGGRTCAGTTATATAAGCCAATCAGTACCACTCATCCAGGATCTGAACAGGTGCCTGGCTGGGTGACCAGTTGACCGGTAAGGTGCCAGGTGGGGTGCAGGAACACAACCTGGAGGAGGATGAGATCTGGAGGAAGGAGGGAGATCATCAACAAAGAACTCAATTTCTTTACCCAAGATGGCAGCATGCAAGGTTACTGCAAAAATGGTCAGTAATGTGCACAGACAAGCAATGGATCCTCCCTGTCCATCATTTGCTTCACATGGCTGCCCCCTTTGGGCACTGTGACCTTGCCTTATTACTATCTACATTGCCAACCAGGTTTTAATTTTATCTTATCGCTTCCTTCTTATATAAGTAGCCACACACTTGTTTGTCAACCTGAGGGAAAGAGCTATGGTCTCTGATTTAACAGGTCTCGGTGCTGCGCCAGCTTCTTGGTGGGGACTCAAGCTGCCACTTTATGAGGGCTGCCTTGACTGTTMTGATTTATGTGGACTTGAGGAATAAAAGTTCAGCCAAATCCTTACAATGATAGGGAGGTTGGCCCTGACCATTTTATGCTTCTTTCTTAGGATCAGTGATTCTAAGGTTAATCAGAAGGAAAAGAGCTGCCTTCACTGTGGCTTTGATAGATGCTGACACTTCACATGTCGTCCTACTTGGTCCTCATGAGAATGCAGACAGTGGATAACTCCCACTGCTTCTCACCTGGTTCAGATGTCTTACTCATCATGTGCTTGGGTCGGACTCAAAGCTTCCCTGATAAAGCATACGTGTGTGTATGTATACATATACATGTATACATATATAAGCATAAATACACACAAACATATATACATGTTATATACATATATATTATATGTTCACATATATGTATATATGAATAAATCCTTTTATAATTGTCTTTTCCTCTCTAGGCCATGAGCTCCTTGGCACTAATGCTTTGCCTGAGATACAGGATGTACCTATAAATACTTGCCAAGTAAATGTATAAATGATCTGTTGAAAGAAAGTACCCTACCTCCATTTCACTTACCAAGGAAATTGACCTCACTTGAGTGACACATAGGAATGGCCAGGTGGGGCCTCTCTGCCCCTCACCTGGAATACCCTGGCCTCATATCCTCCCCTCAGGGCCATGAGCCTGGTCCTCACAGCCTTGAACCCTCACTCAGTCCTGGATGCAGAGCTCTTACCTGCTTCTTTGCTGTCTGGCTCCTTCTTACCCATCAGGTCTCAGTTTCAGTATCACCATCACCTTCATCTGGACAATGGAGACTGACTTTCTAGTTGATTTCCTGTGCACTCCAGAGGCCTTCCCTGGCCGCCCTACCTGCATCAGTTACCTGTGGCTCTCC